AATAAGAGGCAGACATACGAGCAGGCCAATAAAGTCTTTGACAAGGCGGTTAAGCTGGAGCAAGACTTTGGAGAGTATTTCACAGGTTGGTCTAACTGGCCCTTTGCCTTGGGTCATTGATGAATATTTGTAGTTCTGATTTGGGCTGTAGCTAATGATTTTTTAAATTATAGATCTCTCAGTTATTTATTTTTTTTTTTTTTGATGATTTGTTTGGTTAACAAATTGTCAGAAAATTGTGAAAAATGTAGCCCTATAAAATAAGACAAAGACAAGCAGAAAACCTTCATGACAGGGCAGAAACCAAAGGTTTGGAACTTTTGTCTGAAAAACGACTTAAAACAATTAATTGATGAAAGAGGTGTAGATTAATTTTATGTCGACCAGTTTAATCAACTAATCATTTCAGCTCCAATTGATTCATTCTTTAAAATTTCTTAATTTATATTCCAATTTTTGGGGGCAAATTAGGTTTGAAAACGTGTGAGTCGTCTTACATTGGAGGTCTAGACAATTATGTGATCGCATCATCGGTCGTTCTTTTTGAATGGAGAGAGTACCAGTGTAACACTTACTTCTACGGAGAGTGATGCATTATGGGTTGTTTGTAACCTTAATGTTGTGAGGATAGTCAGTGTTTTCAGTCCTTTTATATCAGGTATTTCAGAGTTAGTGTTTAGTTAGCCAAGTGCAACCTTCAGGAGTTTCTGATTACTTGTGTAACGTGTTTTGTTGCCACTGAGGAAATAACTGACGGACTGAAAACAAGTTCATAGCATGTCCTAACATCTTTACAGCAGAAATGAACCAGGAAAAAACTGTCGAACAGCCAAAAATTCTGTCTTTCACAGATGATAAGCACAAAAAGACTGAAAAATGTCAGAGAAAATGATTCTGACCACTTAATGAGGCTGACAGGAGAGTGAGTCTCTGACTGATGTACAAAGATGCACAAATGTGGTTTAACGTATTACCATATTTCATGTTTCACTTATACAAGAGAAAAAGGCTAAAGTGATGAGAACGCTCGTCTACTTGGATTAATCTCAGGGAAACTTTCCCACCAAGTGTTTCCTATCCTCAAGAAGAGTTACTCAAAAAGATACGTTGGAAAAGGTGGATTTGTCCTATAACCAGGGTTATGCTATAACAGTAGTCATTTACTACATGTCAAATGTCAAAAGAGGAGAAAACAATCAGTTTTGGAGAGCCCACGGTAATACCTTCAAGTGTCTTCTTTTGTCCAATCAGTGGTCTGAAACCTGAAGATATTAAATTTGAAATGATGCACAATAAAAACTGGCAAATCCTCTCATTTGAAAGTTGTTTCAGATTAATTTTCTCTCTACTTATCGATTAGTTGACCTATTGTTTCTTCTCCACTTCTGATGCAACTAACAAATATATCTGCCTGTGTGTTTGTGTCTCCAGCTATTGTACAGGGTGACTCACTAGAGGAGATCTACAACAAAATTAAGCTAATCATTGAGGAGCAGTCTGGTCCCTACATCTGGATCCCCTCCTCAGAGAAGCTCTGAGCTCCCTGCCGTCCCCTCTGCATCGGTGCAGAGCTCCCCTCCTGCCTCCCAGAAACCCCACCCAAGCCCAGATAGCCCCCCCTCCCTCCTCCTCACCTCCTTTTTGCAGATATGTTTCATATCAAGTTTTAGTGTCATCATTATGTTACTCTCTAAATGAAAAAGAAGTCTTATCACCATTACTGTGACTGTGCACACCCCTGCATGAGTTTCTCAACAAATCCATTCAAGACTGGAAATGCCATTCCAAAGGAATTTGTCAAATGAAAACAAAAGGGAAAAGGAATAAATCCTTTTGTGAACTGGGACTGACTGAAGATCAGAATGTTTTACAGAAATCTGGAGAGAGGAGTTGGGATTCAAAAAGAAGTTGCAGGGGAACAGAGACAAATCATACAAGTTGGAACACTTTGTAAATGTTCATTAAAATCACATTTAAAAGACACGCAAGATGAGAAGTTGAAGACCAATTAAGGGTTGTTTTTTTTGTTTTGTTTTTTTGTTTTTTTTTTTCTAAAAAGACTGGATAAAATCGAGCCCTGCTGACGGTACTGTTCAAGGAGTCATCTCTCTTGTTTATAATGACTGAGGAAATTAGTGGAGGAGCCTACAAACTGGTGATCTATTTATCACAAACCAGCTTGCTGTTTGGTCGTCTGCCAGTTGTCTGTGCTGCAGCTGATAAAGACATCTCGGGAGGGAGATCAAGAGGAAGAAATGCGTTGTGAATCTCTACATTTATATTATGAAATCACAAGATAAACGATAAAATCCTACTGAGATTTTACTACATATTAAAAAACTACACATTTTACACTTCACTAGAATTGTCAATTTGGAGGGCTGTTTTCTTTTCTTTCTTTTTTTTTTTCTTCTTTGGTTTTTTTCTTTCTTTGTGGGATTTTTTGCTTGTGGTTTTTAGCTGCTCTGTGTAAAGGATGGGGGTAGAGAAGTGTAACTGGGCTCTCTGCAAAACACCAAACTGCCTTACATCAAATACAAATTCTGTTTTGTGACTACCTGTTGTCTGTGAGGGAGGCTGCACACAATTGACAAGGAAGACCGAGGAAACCTTCTCATCTTTCCTTACTTTTTTGTGTCCTCCGACTGCCAGGAGGCCTGACTTGAGTGCAATAGATAAACAAAGTCTCGCCTCTGTGGGCATCTTTTCTCCCCTGTATTTCAACCTCTTTGCTGTGTAATTTAAAAGAAATTTGGCCATTTGATTACAATTTGGACAGCCAGAGCCTCCTTACTCATGTTGAGCAGCAGACCACCCTATTACACTCTCTGCCTTCCAAGAGGATTCTCTTCTGATTGAATGGTCACATGGTACTGTCCTATCTGCCGCCATGACGGTGGCCTTAAAACGGGTAGAACAAGACAATAATTGTATTGGGTGTCTCTAACAATTAAAGAGTCAATATAACCTGTTTTGGATTGTCCCCCTGTGCCCCTACCAAAAACAACACTAAAGTTGGGTTTGATTAAACCTATATGCTTTGTGTATCTATAAACATATGAATTCTTAATGATTCTGTTGTTGGCAGGTGCTGAACCACTGTGTTGAGCTCGTAGTGCGTCTGGGGTGAGCTAGACCAGCTCAGGAATCTTAACGTACAGATACCATTTCCCCTGCGACTGAAAGGCCACGTTCGGGTGATGACACAGAAAGTTTATAGCACGAACAAGTACTCAAGGTACTGTCACATAGTTAAAGGCGTTTTCAACTGAACAGTGTAATCGGTTTGTATTACGCATCTTTTTCGTGAGGCGGGGAGCTTGTTCAAGGCCATCGATGTGGTCACCTTTTGAGTTGGCTGTAACATGGCTTCACCAGGATTGAAATGACCTGCTCCACCCCCCCATCCAGAGCTTGGCACTGTATGTTAATGTGTGCATGTGAGAGGGCACATCTGAAGAAGGAATACTGTGGCCCCTGATCTTGTGAACGTTCTCGCTTTCCTCCTCAGCTTTTTGAAGAGTGCAAGGAGATTTTTTTTCTTCCTCAGAGAGCCAGACCCAACAAGAAGTGGTAACCTAGACCTCTGGGTCCCCTGCTCTCTCCCACCCACAGAGCACCTGTACCTGCAGGCATTTTCTGAACAGGTGTGCCCACCTGCCAGGCACCACTGCTAAACCAGCTGTCATTACCTGTGTCAAAACCAGAGTTCAGGGAATAACCGAAGGGAACAGAGCCATTTATAAACTGCTTGCAGACTGTTTCAAAGGGTGTGGTAGCTGTACAATGTAAATAAGCCCCCAGCAGATCCCCCTCACCTGTGCTTCATGCATGTGTGAATCAAACTGGGACAAACATGTTTTATAGACCACAAATGTCAGGTAAGTAAAGTTTGAGCTACTCTTAAGATATACTTTCCATACAAATGTGCTGTATTGTTGGTATTTCTCTTCAAATGCCTATTGGAACACTTAACTAGTCAGTTTGGGAATTCAATTCCCTCAAATAGGGCCTGTCTACATGTGATTTATTGTGGAACGTGTCTGGGTGTATAGATTTTAAAAAATATATTGTAAAATAATTAAAAAGAGATGCAGGCAGAAACCTACACAACATCACAGAAACCAGGAGCATTGATCAATACATCATTAGAAGTTTAGAATTGGTCCTCTCTGGTGTTTAGCTGAAATACAGCTGACTGTTAACAATGTGTGTGGTATTCATACCTCAGTCAGCCATGTCAAAGCCCAAAGAACTTGATTTCATTTTACTCTTTCCACTGAGGTTGTGGTATATAACAAGATGGAACCTGAATGCCTCTGTGTGTGTATAATTGATGAGGGTCTTTGTTCTCATGAGAGAAATGATGACATGTATGCTTTTATTTTTTGGGTGGGGGGGTCAGGGTTCTTGTTTGTACTTTTGGGTGATGATGTTTATGTTATAGCACATCTGTGCAGTAAGTGCTTGCAAACATGAACCCTTTGATTGTACAGTAGTTTCCTTCCTGTCACTGCAGGTGGTACAGCCTATCAGGACACTTGGCCTCATGGTCTTCCCTGTCCTAGTCATGAGGGAACACAGTCCTGCAACTTTTGTTCGGGTTTTATTTTGGGACTTGACAAGAGTTTATTTGTTTGAAAATAAAATATGTGACTCAGTTATGATTTTGATGTGCTTGTTATTCTGCTTTAACTGACTCGGTGGCTTAAAAAATTGAATTACGACAATTGAACTTTTTTTTTTTTTTGAAAAGGTTATTTGGCATTTTAGCCTTTATTGACAGGAGACATGGAGGAGGGTGATGTACAACAAAAGGCTGGAATCAAACAATGTGTCTTAACCTCTAGGCAACTAGGACACCCCACCAATACGATATGCGATATGTGATGAACATTTTACCACATGTAGCTACAACGAACAGAATGGAACTGAATCAATTATAAATTGCCCTCAGTACAGACCGTTACAGCAGCAACAGCTGACCTGTTTCCATTTGATTATTCCTCCATGATGAGGTTCTTCTTGGCTTTGTCCAATCTGTCCAGGATTTCACTGTAGAGACCAGACATCTGTGTGAACACAAGACACAACTGTTTAAGTTAAAATGGTCTTGGCTACAATGATTGTTATATACCTTATTCTGCATAAAACTCATGTGTTTTTTGGGCCAAAACCTTTGGCACATTTCCCTAAGTAGCAGGATTAAACAAGATCTAATATGCTCCACTGCTACAACCACTTCTGTCTCCCTTATCCCTCTTCCTTCCTCTCCACCAGACTGGTACCTGTGTCTCATAGCTCTCTTTCAGGGATCCTAGGTGGCAGACGAAGCTCATGGCGAGGCCACACCACTTCTCAGCCTCAGAATACTGAGCCAGGCTGTACAGCAATATCCCTGTGTTCCAAGCCCGAGTCAGCAACCACAGGGTCTCCATCTCTGGGAAGTCGTCCGGCTACAGAGAAGAGCAGGAAGATGTTCAAAAGGCCATTTAACGGAGGCCACCTGGGTGACTCACTTGAGCCAAGTGTATGGAAGGAAATCGGTGTTTTTAGTGGGTAAAAGCCTGTGAGTAGCATTACTAACTTTCATCCAATCATGCTTTACTGTATGTTAACCTTTACTAATGCTTAATGTTAATGTTTTTCTCAACACTTTAATCTTGGGCTTTCAATTTGATCTAAAGAATTCCACAGCTTTTGAGTAATAACTCAATATGAAAGGGGAAATATGCACTGCCTCCAAAGCAGTGTAATGTCTCAATAATTTGATGCCTCTTTCAGAGCTGCAGCTCACCGGCAGTGTGATGACTTGTACAGCACATTAACATTCAAATTGGCAGGAAGGGGGTGGTGAATGGAAGCATCTGCTAATTGAAGTGCGGCTGAAAGCCCATTGATAAAAAGAGGCTTCTAGAACAGCAGGCAGGCATGGGCTGGAAGAGAGGGGGTTAATTATATAGCAGGCAGGCGGCAGTTCTGTTGGAGGGAACAGGAGGTGGGAGCCAAGGGATGGCGGTGTGTGATTGGCACTGACTCACTGCGGCTGCAATGATGGACAGGGCCTCCTCATAGTAGTCCCACACCTCCTCGAGCACATGGGCCTCCACCTCTGACACACCACTTGGGAGGGACAGCTTGATCAGGCTGTGAACACACTTGCTAAGATGGGGGCACAAAAACAGTCTCACAATCAAGAATCCTTTCATCCTAATAAGCACTTTGTGGAAATGGATCGCTAATGAAATGTCAAGGGTATTTTCATTCAGAGAAGTGATGGGTTTGCCTGCAGCAGGCCAGGTCAGCCTGTGGTTGTTTCTTGTGCAGAGAGAGAGCAACCCTCAAGGCCTTCTTGCACAGCAGAGGGAAGTGGGCTGGAGGCTCCATGGCTAAGGCTACATATAGAAAAATAAAGATGCCAGCATACTGCAAATACTAGGATGTATGTTTCTTTAGGCATGCCAGGCCTCTTTTTTTTTTTACCTGCAATGATCTCCAGCACCTTCGTTTCAATGTTTTCAAGCTCCAGGACAGACTCCAGAACTGTCTCCACCTTGGGGTCATTCAGCTTAGCACGAGCTTCAAATTCATACAGCAGCAGCAGTGTGTCTGTGGGGTCCAATGGGAAGTTTCCTGTAAGTGCATGTTGAGAATACATTTCTTAAGATCCATTTTCATTTACAAAAGATCTGAAAAGGGTTATTTGCTTCTTTATAACCTGTACTGTTTCTTTTTTTTTTTTTTTTTAACTCAAGGTACCCGATGCTTTCAGGGTTTTCCAGATCTCCCAACAGATCTGAATGTGCTCCAGAGCCTGAGTGAGCTCCTCGGTCTGTGAACCAAACAGAAACACAAAACAAGCAAGATTCATCATTGCCATCTAGTGTTTGGTTCCTCTTCAAAGGATTAAAATCAGACACCTACGCCAGCACCAGTAATGTGGTTAGTCACCTCTCCTCTCCACTGGTCTTGGTAAATTTCCATCCATGTGAATAGAGAGGATGCTAAATGTAGGATATGGGCAGAGGGAGTGGGTGGCACACCTGGTCAGAGTGAGGAGACTTCCTGCAGAGCTCCAAAGCGGCAGCAGCAGCCATTAGCAGACATGTCTTCTGGCCCATGAGCAGTGTGCGATCAGGAGGGCACAGCTGGGAGAGCTACGGGGTCGTGGAGATGCACATTTGACAAAGAAACTAAGGCATGGAAGTATGGCATTATTGTAATTACAGTATTTAGATTTGGATTTTAATAAACCGAAGATAAAATGGCTGGTTCAGAAAAGCAGAAAGATAGTGGCTTGTGATCTGAAGGTCAGTGGTTTTGAGCACAAGACAAACTGGAAAATTTGTGATGGGAGAGAATTGGAAGACATTCTCTCCTCATTCAACAACAATTTTTGAGGATTTTAGATGCTTTAAAATAAAGTAGTTCATCTCAGTTCCTCTGAAGCATCTGCTCATCAACAGCAGAAGCTTCTAATTGTGTAGGGCTGTTTTCAGGCATGAATGCATGTATTTAAATTAAGTACGTGCACAACCTCTCATGAAGAAAAAGGAATTCTGATAAAGGTAAGGTCAGAAAGTCAGGACAGAGGTAAGTATCAGGATGGGACTATTGTGGATCATTGTGGTGACTCTTAAACTGATATGTTTATCTTTCTAAAGAAAATGTTAAATGCCTGTTATTGATCTACACCCACTTACTGTAGATATTGATTAATTCATCTGACAAAGCCAATAAAGGGTACCTGCCTGGTAAGAGAGCACAAAGAAATCCCTCATTCTGTCAGGACTGCTCTCGCACTGAAGAGCTGAGTTCCACGCTGTAATAAGAACACACGCAGACAAAATGAAGGTGCTCCAACATTTGAAGTGATAGCATACCATGTCAGATTAAAGTGACAAGAAGAGTGAGTCTTGGTACCAATCTTCCTGAACCAGCTAGCTTCATCTGTGCGTTGCTCCACAGTCATGTGAGACTGATGTGAAACTTTCTGCAGAGCTGCAGTGATGGCAAACAAAACATTTGCGGGATATGATGCACAGCTACAGATACTGTAGTTTCTTCCCAAAATGTCATTTCACCTGTGTTGTCTATCTACTCACCCATTTTTAGATATGGCAGCAGGACATCCAGACTCACATTCCTTCATGGAGCGAAGGTAAGAGATGTAAATCTGTTTTTTTATTTTATTAAAAGCAACATCAATAATACTATATAACTGCATGTTATTAAGTACTTTTCCTTCCACTCACCTCATCTCATCACTTGATTTTTCTATTGTGGAGAGCACGAGTCGAACCAAACACCTAAAAAAAGATGAATGGAGAATGAATGGAGAAACTGGTGTTGACCTCCTTTCTTTCACCTACTAACTGTATTATACAGAAACACACTTTTAGAGGAGAAGCAATGGAATATAGGTCAGTGGATCATAGAGGTGTATGGAAAACTAACAGACTCGCTACAGTCTCTCAGCACATGAGCCATCATTACTAAATGTTGTCACTTTATGTGTGAAACTCTAGCATCACGTTTTGTTTACACAAATGCTGGCTTCATGCTCTTACTATTTTACTTTCATGTCAGAGATGATTTTTATAAAATACATGTCAATTTTGCTGCAGCCAAATTGTATTTTGTTATTAAACTCTCCAGTTGTATATTTAAAAAATACTTCAGTTCTCACAGACCTGAGAGCAGTCAGAACCTGAGCTTCATCTTTGGAGTTTTCACACAAACTCTCCAGTGCCTTCATGGCAGTTTCCTGCTGTTCATTCTGTCACATGGGACAAACATCCTCATCATCATTAATGCTTCCGCCCGCCTGTCATGTTCATCACAATCATACAGTATACTAAAAATAGAATTCACATACATTTTCTATTTATCTAGTCCTTACCCTTACAAATTGCTAATGTCTGGTCACTGCCCAGTATGTTTGCTGATAGTAGTTTGGGAAAGGCAATGTCCCCTAAATGTTAATCATAAATTATGAATACAAATATCACAATTAAGTGAAATTCTATTTGTACAGCCAGAATGAGTGCAATGACAAGGATATGATCCCTCATCGGCTGCAAGTTGAGGCCCTATAACATCACAATACATTAAGACTGGGAAATGTGATAACAGTTCCACCAGACCTAACAAATTGTTTCACCATTAATTCCACAAATTTGACGACTGGTGTACAGAATCGAGTATGATGAGTGCTACCTCCAAAGCAATCTGAGCAGCCAGACTGAGGAGATTGGATGCAGCATTTTCAGATACCAGCAATCTGTCCTCACAGGCCACAGGACACTTGGACAGAAGTCCAATCATATTCACTGCATCTGCAGCTGGTACAAATAAACAGCCTCATCACCAAAGATGCTTCAGATGTAGCAGTCACTAAACTGCAACACTACTACTATGCATGCCTTTACTGTATATGCTTTACAAACGTAATGTGTTGTGGATACCTTTCTTCACATTCTTCTCCTGTACGGCGATCTTGTAAACACTGAACTGAGTGAAAATGCTGTCAGGATCACATCTCTCTGCTTCTTTAATTGCCTCTTTGGCCTAGTGAAAACAGGTTTTCATATACAGTACATGCAAACATACTTCATATACATAAACTGTAAAAATGTGGCAGGAGTGCTTGCCATTGCAGCTGTTGACACAGACAAACTACCTGTTTCTATCAAGGACCACCAAATGCAGCCACTGGACAACATTTATTTCCCTGACTTGCTGCTGTGGCTCAAGTTGCCTCACCTTTTCCAGTTGCTTCAGCTGCAGGAAACAGGAAGCTCTGTTCCTCTGCAATTTGGCTAAGTTGGGCTCCATTTGACCTGCCTTAAAGAAACTCAGGGAGTAGTTATACCACTGCAGAGCCTCAGAATAGTTCCTGGCCTGGACAGAAATATAAACATTAAGTTATACTTTATTTATCCCTGTGTGGAAATGAAGTCTCTGTATTAAACCTATCCTAACTATTTTATTAGCAGTAGGCAGCCTCAATGAAGAGATCAGGGACTAACACTAGTTCTGAGGCCAGTGCCTTGCTCAAATGCAGTGTAGGAGTATTCCTGACATGCATGTCTTTGTGTTTTAGGGAAACTATAGCACCAAAGGAAAACCCACACACAGAAAAAACATGCAAACTCCAGTGTTAGATGGGCCAACTACATCCCACCAGGCTTCTTTCTAGGAGGCAACAGTGCTAATCACTTAGCCACTATGTTGATAATTATACATACAGTATGTGTAGACAATATAATATGTTGTAATAATGATAAACAAGGCTGTGTTTGGCATACCTCAAAGTGTTTCGAGGCCTTATCCCACAGCATGACATGTAAACTTGTGAGGGCCTGTGGAGTCAGCTGTTTTCCTGTATAGTGGCCTGTGTGGGTGTAGAAAATGGTTATAATACAGAGGCACAGCTAAAGTGCATTACTTACATAAAATTCATCATATTGTTTTTATTAATATCAGTCTTCTTCAAGAGATGGAATGGAAAAATAAATAAATAAAGTACCAGTGATAATGTCCTCTATCTTCTGTTTGCCCAACAGCTCCTTGCCTCTCTGTAGCAGTAGCTCAATGTGCAAGACAAGAGCAGTTCCCAGGTCAGGGGACGACTCAAAGCGCTGACACACACGTTTTAAATACTCAAATGCCAGCACTTCTCTATGAAAATCAAAACAGATATCATTCAGAGTTGGCTAATATTTGTCTGGGCTTGCCTACAAAGAAATGTGTATATGTGCCAAGAGAGAGCGCTAGCAAAGATGCTGAAGTTTTTACCTGTCTTCAGACATGAGTAGTTTCACGGTGCCCAGACACACTTCAAGAGAAACCTCACACTGTAGCATCTCATTTAGTCCTGAAAACATATTTTATGATCTGCTTTTAAATATTAATTTTAACTCCTGAAGTCACCCACAGCCACACATTAACACTCATTGTAGAGACTTAGAATATTTCTGGAGGAATTAAACTTATGAGTGGCCAATTTTGAGTTTTTATGAATCCACTTTTTCCCAGTAGCTTCAAAGAATCAAACTAGCAACATTTCATTCTTGAATGTGCTTCTCTAACCTCTAAGCCACTGACACCCCACTGCTGCCTATGTTAATCAAGTTCTGTATAAATAATTCAATGAGGTCTGGTAATAACTAACCTCCTCTGATATGATCGTCTGAGGCTCCACATCTCAGGAGTATTCTGATCTTTAAGTACAGCCCAGAAGTGCTCACACATTCCTGTCAAATTTCACAGCAATTAGGTACAGAGCATCTGAGCTTTCTTTTTTAGTAGGTGCATGCTTCATAATGCATATATATACAGTATATTACAACATGAAAATGATTTCTTGTATCCTACCTTGTTGGCTAAGTTGACAGCATTAAGAGCTTTCTCCTGAAACCTGTGACAGTCCCATTCTAAATAAACAGTAGCAAGGAGCCTCAAAACCTTGGCCTATTGTGAGGGAAATTGAAGATATTAGGAAAAAAAAAAAAAAAAAACAATTTTAAATTGTACATACTGCTTGAACTTAACTTTGTACTGCGCCATCCTACCTGGACTTCAGATCCAGGGGCGTATTTAACATTCATTTTCCCAATATCATAGCTTTGGCTGAAAAAAACAGGAATCAATCCAAAACCATTTCCCACTGCTTTCCTTGTCTGCACTTCTCCACTGGAATTAAACATCTTGATATTTACCTCAACCAAAAAGCACTCTCCTCAAACTTTCTCAGATTGTAAGTGTCTATTCCAAAGTTGTAGCACATAAGGGAGAGGTATGCAGTCTGCATTGAGGAAATATGTTCACAATTAACACACTTTCAATAACAATATGTATGAAAAGTACAAAACAACAATATGTAGTGTTGTTATAGTGTTAGTTATTTTCTTTCTTTTTTTTTTTACATCTTTTGGCAGCCGCAGCAGCATGTCTTTACAGCGCTGCATATAGGCCGCAGCCTCATGGTTATTCCCTTGACTTAAGGCCTGTAAAGTAGAAGAGACTTGAACTTCTTTTTGTCAGCAAACAATATAACGTTCCCTATTAGCACAGGATGAGATTTTCCCATCTTATTGTTTCTCAGTTCACATTTTAGCTGTCTCACACTTCACACTGCAAGTCTGTCAGAATAGCACTCCTTCAGCTGCCAAATATCACAAGAACAAATATTCACATTGAAGGTGTTGAGCATCACATGCGCCACAGCTCACCGACTCTGCCTGGCATGAGAGAATTCGAAGCAGATCCTTCTCCACATCCTCCTTGCATGAAGTGATGTCAGCTGCTCCATCACCTCTGCACGTTAGTTGGCTATACAGGGTCTCCACGCTCTAGGGATATTGTATGTTGAGTAATTTGTGAAGACACCACATTTACGTTTACTCAAAACTTTGTTAATAAACTTTGTTGAAACTGTTAATTTTTTTCTTGACCTTGACAGCCAGTCTTAGGAAGTGATCTGCCATCTGAGAATTTTTGCAGTCCAGCCATGTTCTCCCTGTTTTGCTGGCCATCTGTAAAAATTAGACACTGACAAACAGACCCTATCCCCCTGAAATACTGAGCACTCTCAGAGGGTGCCCACAGTAAAGCTTACCAGGATCTGCTTGCGGATAATGCCCTCTGTTGGATTCTCAGGCTCACAGCAGTACAGCAGACTGCATGCGACATGACGCACTGTAAAGAAGGTGAGAGCATTTGAATGTGTCGTGAGATGACTGTGACTATCCCTGCTTGCAATCCCAACATTGTTTAAACATTTTAGATGATATGTCTGAGTATTTTCAAGTATCATACTCATCATTAAAAATAAATACTGTAAGTAGAGGTGTACCTTTGGCCTTCTGATTTTTACTCATAGTGGTGCCCACATTCTTAGTGACTGCCCAGTTCCACAGCTGGATGGCACACTCCTCAAACTGTAATATAAGTAAGAAACAGAAGTATTCATGCAACTTAAAAATTCAGTCAACTTATTGGCCACATAAAGGTGATATAAAGCTATATTAGAAAAAACAATTGTTTACTTAGTAAATAAATAGACCAAATGAAAAGTTGTTACAACAGCCATGTAAATTATGGTAGAACCAGACCAAAAAGTTAACTATATCCCTTTTCAAGAGAATAAAAGAAAGAACTGCCAGGGTGAAATATCTTTGTTAGCATTCAATACTGTATTTTAGGTCCTGCATTACAAGACATAGCATAGATCCCTAGCCAGGACTGTGGGCTATAGTCAGACTCACTCTCTCACACTTGTATTTACCTGTAGAGCTGGTATTTTGGGGAAATCCTCTAGGCCAGAGACTTCAGAGAAGAGCTTCTCTATCACCTCATCATAATCTGTTTGCTGTTTCTGCAACAGGTTCTCTGTGAGACCTGCATATGCACAAAAGCAAATGCACATGTTAACAGTACATCAACAAAACAACAGAACATCTCATCTCCACAAGTGGTCAGTGATGTCTGACACAGTATATCACATATCACAATATCGTTTTTGCCCAGTTCCCTGATAGCAACCTTCATTTCACCATGGGAGACAAAATGAGAAATGTGTAACTCATCACTACCTTCTGGTTGGACTCAGAAAATAACAGTAAACATACCACTTAACAATACTGTCCAGTCAGCAACAAAAGCACTATCCTACAAAGTATAGGTGGAGCAACAGTTAGCTACAGTGAGTAGGAAAACACTCTTTCACACTATTACGTAGAAAGAAGTGTCTCAATAGTCAGTTTCACTTCTAATGTGTGTCTCATGGCAATTTTAAAATCTTTATTGGTATAACATATATTTATAAAATGATATATGAATTTGTTAATACTGACCATTAATTGATTATTTAGTGTAGTTATTCATTGTAACATCACGAAATGCATGACTTTTTTTCAGATCCCAAAGTATTCAACAATATAAAATAGAGTGAACAACTCTTCAAAAGTTGAGAAGCTGTTACCAGTAAGTCATTCATATGTTTACCTAATAAATACATTATGTAATTGTTTTTCCTCGGTAATTAGCTAATTTTATGCCCAAAGATTATTTCAGGGTTATTTGAATGCACCCTCATTGGATCAATTAAACCTTAATGTTATTACTACCCTCATGTTAAGGTAGGTAATGGTGTCAAAAGGTTTAGGCTTAGTTAGCCTGCCATAATAAGTTACTGTGTACTGCTGTATTACGATGTAAAGCAAATTCACTTTTCTTAATTTTAGACTAAACTCGGTAAAACATGAGGGTAAAATGCATAAATCATATATGGGTGGAAGTCTTGGGTAGCTATGGTAACCTTGCTAACTGCTAGGGACCTAGCTAGGTTGGAAGTTGAGTTATGTTAGCTAACTTTATTAGGACAACAATTTGTTGCGTAAATTGTCTTAGTTGGACTGCAGTTTATCGCCTAAACTGTCTTAAAACCAATACGTGGTATAACAAATAGTGTTTACACCAAGTGAACGGGATAGTTACTCACATTTCACGGTTGAAACAAACAGCTCCATATTTTGGGTTTCAGCCAGCACAGGGTTTGATTGACAGTTTTCACAAATGCCCGCGAAATTCGTCCACAAAGGGAAGAGCTCAAAGGTAACAAAATCAAAGTTTGGGTTAGTGTTAACTTTCAAACACGTTATGTGTGTTCATATATTATTTTTACAAAGAGACTTGACCATTTGGTTATTAAAATACTTGGTTACAGTTATGTGAGACGTTTATTTTACTACTAGCTAGCATTTAGTGATATTGATATGAACACTGATTGAACACTAATCACCATGATGGTTACCATGGCATATTGATTTTCTTTTCCAAATTTCCCTTCACACAGGAAATTTTGACTGGTAAACAAGGCTGCAGAAAATAACGTCAATTGTGGGTGCATCAATGACATTTCGGTGTTCATTTAATATCAGTACATGCTGGCATGGTGGCACACCCATAGACTGTAAATGGAACAAAGCCATCATTAATGGTATTAGTTACACCTGTGCTTAATTCTGTTAGAGCAAGTCAAACGTTATCAACATTGAGATATTTTACTCTTCATGATGCTCAAGTTTCCTCTCTAAAAAGGGGAGCTAACCTCACATTTAACATATTTAATTCAGTGCCAATCAAATAAAAACTGAAGGCCTAATTGTTCATTTCTTATACAGCTCCTGGATTGAAAACAGACAATTTGTAATATTGCTAACATGCAAAAGTAGTTTTTGTTAATATTGTGGATGATAAACCTTATTTTGTACACAAAAATTTATGCTATATTCCTTTCTTACAAATTACAGTATGAATGGGGTCTGGAGACTGTAGCATTTTTTTCCCTCTCAATACTGACTACAGCCATTTCATCAACAGGGCAGGCAGTCAGACCCCCTCCACTCCTCTGCTGAAGAAAGACTTTTCTACTGGTTCATTTACCCAAGAAGATGTTGCTGTTGAAGCAAAAGGAAGAGTGCATGCTGTGAGTGTAGAACCAGTTAGTCCCCCACAGTGTGTTTTGAACACCAGATTCTAAAATAAAACACTTGAAATCCACCCCTCTCAGCTAGCAACTTCCAGCTATTGTTCATCTGGAGACTTATCTGCTGCCCTCTTGGCCCAGAGGGAATGTCTCCCTTACTGACAACTTAAATGTGAACACACGCTAAGACATTGTTGAAGTAGACAAGGCAGTTTCTTGCAAACTTCAATTCTTTCTTGTGCATTTAGTGCGTTACTGACGTTCTAAGGTTTATAGCGTTTCATCTTTACCAGTGTTTCATTATTAAGACTTGATAGCCCATGTCTTGCAGCCATTTTCTTAAGACTATTACTGTTTGAGAGTCTTGTCAGAGTTATGCCTTATAGGGTTGATTCTGAAGTCTACAAAGGGAGAGGGGTGAATTTACTGTTTCTTCACCACTAGATCACAAGACTGAGTGTCCACAGTCTCACTGAAGCTTAGAAACAAAGTAATCCAACAGACAAACTTATTTTGACCCCTTTTTTGGAATTAACCATGCAGAAGAGAGCTAAGTTTTTGTTTGCTCTTTCTAGCCACTAGGCATGAACATTACTTAATGATTTCCTTGAGTGGTTTCAAGAAAAAAACTCAAAAACTGTATAGTTCAAACTATGCTGAAAACATTGAACTAAAATGCTGATAAGTGTGCAGGAATTAATTCTTAAGTTGTGACTGTGCTGTCTCAGAATCAAAGAGAGCAAAAGTAGTCCCATGACTGGGATGTTATAAATTGTTTCCCAGGTTCTCATGCCATGTCGCTGTTTTCCTGGTACAGTGATGGAAGAGTGCTGCTCATTGCATTTCACCACCGCTGGTCCTCATCCACAGTGCACCACCACTCCCGATCCAGTCCCCAAAATGGTGGCTTCTCAGTCCTAACGTGGGCGGAAAGGTGAGGGGCAGGATGCTCTTATTTACAGTGCCTGCTACTATGACCTACAGCAGCAAAGTAATTGTTGTGGTGATAAAAAAAACAGTCTGCAGTACATCCACACACTGCAGGGTACTGCCAGACAAAAGAGAATTATTTACATTGATATAAAAAGCAGTGTATCCTGTTTCTGAAGTTAAAAATAAATCCAGCAAATATTTATTCTAAAGACTCAGGCAGATAGATTCAGTCTGATATGATGATTGTTTACTTTTTACTCCTTTTCCTCTTGAGACAAGATTACTGCAGTTACCTTTAACCTTAGATACACATTAGATTGATGTGATCAAAGGAAGGGTTACACACAAAGATGATGCACTTTATAATTTGACTCAAAATTTACATTTAGAAACATTCACTAACCACAAATCAGTGAGGTAATTCTGATATTAAAAAGCCTTGCTACAGTGCTGTAATACATATGTGAGTGGAGTTTTCCACTAGAAGTAAATATAAAAATTAATGTGATTTCTATTGCATACTTTCATATTTAATGGTTTTACTGTAACATCCCTGCACCGTTTCTAGTAGTTACTAATTTTGTTGACCTGACATAAAATGTGTTGCATGATTGTTGTGGATGCTAAATCATTTTTTCTCGTGAGCTGATCTCCTCTTCGGTAGTCTGAAGAGAGACGTTGTCCCCCCCAAAAAGTGACGTTGCATCCTTCCTCTGTGTCTCCATAAAACGTGCCTCACGCATGGACTGTAAGTGCTGAGGCGAAAGGGAGGAGAAGTTGTCCAAGGCGCGCATGTTAGGCAGGAGCTGATTGATCTAGCCTTTGTGGGCCATACCGGACAACTGTGAGAGACTGAAAATACCACTCACCCAACTTTTGTTTTTCACCATCCCTTATATTTCATTCATCTAACATTTTTTTTGTTCGAGAGCACCTGCCCGGAGCTTACAGCGGTTCATCCGGCTCCTCATTGCGGGATCGAGACTACCCAGCTGCGCAGGAGAGCTCCCCAGCAAAACGCGTCATGGGATACAGGAGAATCACTGCCGGTTTTTGTATGTACACCTGAGGGGTTTGTGGATTTACAACACGGTTTTTAAAATAGACAATAAGACTCTTTGATTTACTGGCTTGAAGAAGAAACTTTTGTCAGTCACCCGGAGTTATAAGCCTCTGCCAGGGACTCTTATTTTTATTCTAACACACGCTTTGGATTTTGGCGAAGAGTTGGCAGGATGGTCGCATCCGACTGCTTCAAACTGGTCGTTCTCATCTTGTGTTGTTTATCACTCACAAATGGTAAGACGTAATTTATGCTCATACAGATGAGTAATTATTACACGTAGCAGAGTTTTATGGATGAAACAACACAGTTTGACTGTTTGTTTCAATGAATGGCTGAATGCATACTGTTTTACAGACATCTGACATAATCAGCTGCCAGTTATCAACAGGAGAAGTAGGCTACACAAAAGTGGCTTCTTTTTACTCTTCATCTTAATAAAAATAATAATAATAATAATGATAATAACAATAATAATGAGAATAATAAAATAATAATATGCCCTTTCTTTGCTCCTACATTTTGTGGAACATTTTTATTATGTATGGATATAGTAGAATATTCAATTTGCACGTTTTAGGAAAATTATCCGTCAACAATTGATGCCACTCATTGGTCCTGCACTTCCCACTTAAGCCACTAGAGGTAGTCTTATCCCGTTGTAATTGGGTGATTATTAACAAGTTAATAAAACGTGTTGATTCTGACAGCTAATTGTAACAGATGTCCACACTTTATATTCAAGTGTAAGACTGATTTCATTGATGAAATTTTAATGTGGTTGATTTGAATTTGTTTTTTCAGATAGTCTATTATATTCTATTATTGCAAGTAAGCCTTTTGCTATATGTTATGAAAAACGTTTATTCCAGCAATTGTTATCTGTGGTTGAACAGGATTAAACATTCTGGGAAGAGAATGCATGTTTCTATCTGACAGTACAATCAGCTTCATTGTCTCAGTGTCACTCCACAAAAACAAGATAGTGTTTAAAAGGTGGATGTTCTTCCACCTTGTGCCAGGTCTAGTGTGCCACAGAAAGGATTCCTCATCATTTCCAAATAAACAGCCCGTCCAAACAAAGGAAATACTGTTCACGTTCACCCCCTTCCCCCAACTACGCACACACACACACACACACTCGTACACACTTTCAGCCTATGAAGCTTTGTCTATGATGTTTTTTTAAGTAGATTTCCTTCACTGTCCACACACAAAGCGTGGGAAAGACACAAAGGAGGAAGCGGATGTAGGGGCAAGAGGTAGCCTGGAATTGTTCTAGCTAGTAAAGGTCACGGAAATGTGACACGCTACCTGAGCAAAGATTTCTTCCCGGGGCTCCTTATGCTCATATTGTGCTATGTTAAACTCCATCCACAAGACAATGGCAGGGAGGGTATTATTTCTTCATAGTAGCTACAGACTGGTAGAGCCATTAATTATTGATGGTGCATCAGGCTGTCTCTGTATAAGCTGCGGAGTGTAACAGGTTTACACTTGTAAATATGACACAAAGCTATAAAGATATGATAATTAGGCATGTTACACCACCAAAGTTCATGTTGCATCCTGTCATTAACGCCACAATATTTGAGAAAAAGTTATTATCAGACACTGATTGTTATTGATGTTATTGATACACATTTAAACAGTCTTCTTATCAGTATTCAGCTTTGTAATTACATAAGTGATTAAGAGGGAAAAGGTAATTGTTCTGTCGCAAAAATGTCTGGAAAATTTGTCAATATTTAACATGCAGCTGCTTCTATTCAAAAAATGAGCACAGACACCTTTGTGACACCAATTTAAGTGAGGCATAACAGTTCAGGCTAGATGCTTGTATTGCAGATTTATTTCAGTTGGCATGTGTAATGGTTAACGACTTAAAGCCCTCTGTATATTAGTAGTGATGTTATCTAATAATATTGATTCAATTCGAATTGTGTCTGTAAATTTCATAGATACGTTTACTGAAATTATTTCTTGTGTTATGCAGGTGAATTCATCCAAGAATTATGAGACAAAACTAAAGGAATAAGTTCTAG